GCCCCGTGGACTTCACTTCTGAGGCTTTTGTCTGAATCTGGTTGTTCGAATTTACCCTTGCCTGAAAACAAAAAGCAAATGGACATGGCAGACAGCTTGAATTCTGATTAAAATTATACTGTGGGCATGCAATCGACCATGACAATTTAGGTACATTGTTTTAACACAAGCAGTAGTTAGGAGTTTCTGTTGCACATTTTTCCCTGCTCCAGCTCAGCTACGGTGCAATTGCCAGCACAAATTTCACATCATAAGCTTTGACTGAACAATACCAGCTTTTACCTGTAGGGCCTTTCAAACTCATCTACCAGGAAGGTTTCCAGGAAAGCACAATAGGTGGCACCACATTCTTAATTCTTGACCCTCTTGATTCACCATCCTCAACATAAAACTGCAATGTCTTTGGACTGTGATTTCTCAATCATAGGAGGTTCCATACTCTGGCACTAAAATGGAGGACGTGTGTTGCGAATGCCAGATGAGGAAAGTCCACATCTTGAACACTGCGTGTGATCGGATCATGCAGATATTCGAGATTTAGTAAGACAAACGAATTGTATACCATAGTGAAGCTATGGATCTCTCTCAACTTGATTGAGGCTGAGTTGGAAGAATCAGAATGCTGTTTTCTGGACTTCATTGGTAGATGTACAATCTCGACTGATGTACGGAATCCATTGATATCCTTCTCCGTTCACTTCATCCCATTCACCATGACCTCTTGTCTCTGACCTCGAAAGAGTATTTAAAGATGGTGATCACGAATCTTACAGAGTGATAGCTTAATCCACTTCAAGCCCATGCTTCTGCAATCCAACAATACGATTAATATTATATTCTGCGTGATGAATGTGGAATCCAAATTCGAGTCAAGGATTTTCAACGAGAATTGCGATCACTTCGATATTCAGCAAACGATCTTCTCCATCCTTCGGTAAAATATTATGTTGTTGAAGTCAAATTTCTGCAAGAGTCTCTGTGCCTGTAGGTCCACACGCAGTTGGACTGTGTGTGGACGTTCAGCTACAAAGTAACACAGTTCAATTTCCACATTTACACACGCTCACAGTTCTGAGCGTGCTGGGCTTATCATTCTGCTGAGATCCCGGCCAGCACAAGCATTCCATCAGGGTCTTTCACACAGACACCTCAGCTAGTCAACCATGACCTGAAACATGGCTTACTAGAACTGAAATGTTGGGATGTGGATGATTCTTTCTGCATGTTCACCAGGTTGCGTCACAAGAAATGCTAGACGAAGAGGCCAGCTGGTCACGGTGAAACCCACTGGATACGGTGACACACTAACGGTGTACTTATACATACGGTCGTATTGATATAGCCAAAAGTCTAGGTAATCTCTGGAATTAACTCTTTGAGCAGGGTCTTTAGTGAACGCAAAACAATATTCCATGTTGTGCAAAGCTCCACAAATTATAAGATATTTAAAGAAATTTAATCACAATTGGATGTATTTAGTTAAATTTTCTGTATCCACTTTCCACTTATTTCAACGAACTTCCGCATGTTCACTCCACTAAAGAAAGTGAAGATGCTCGGCTGAATATTATTGACACTTGGTGGGACCTTATCTAACAAGTAAACCTTAAATTGCAATGTACAAAAAAGTGACTTGATTGCACAGTCCATCCGAATCAAGCCATGCATTCTATTCTTTTTGAACACACATTCCGAGACGACTTTGAGCTCAGTTGAATATGTCAGCGCAGAGGCCTCATTATTCCAGCGCAGAAGTCTCATGATTACTTCCGCTTTCGCTTTCTTCACTGCAGGTGGTGGCACCAGGTCTTCCTGTGGACCTGGACTATTCCTGTTGTAGCCAAATAGTCCGCAAGACTCAGTCTCTCAAACGAAGAATTTGTTACTCCTTGTCTTTTTCACTTCCCATGGTTTTGTCTGAATCTGGTTGTTTAAATTTACCCTTGCCTGGAAAAGAAAAGAAAATAGAAATTTGGCACACAGCTTGAATTCCGATCATATTTTAATGAGGGCATGTCATAGACTATAACAATTTAGCTACATTTTTAAAAGACAACTAGCAGTTAGAAGTTTCTGTTGCACATTTTTTCCTTGCTCCAGCTCGAATTTCAAATCGTAAGCTTGGCCTGAACTATACCCCTTTCAGTATCATCTACCGGGAAGGTTTCCATGAAAGCACAATAGACCCGACCCTGCCGAGAGAAGTGTATGTTTCCCATTTTCACTTTCTCAGCTCCGGTCCCTTGTGTACAATCAAATCACTGTCGATGAACAATGATTTGATTGTAGGCAAATAAGTGGTGATGGGTGACTTACTCCAATTTACTGAAGTGGGCAGTCAATTGTGGAATTGCCACACTGGAAACTGCAAACTTTTATCGAATCTTTACCTCATTCTTGTGTTTGACTCTCTGGGAGTCCATGGCGGACCGGGTGATTTTGTTAAAACCGCAAAGCCAAAATGAATGAACCTGAATCAGTGAAAGCGTGGTGCTTGGATGACACACTATTTTCACCAGTTCAAACCTCACCGCGTCATGAATCTTGCCACCAGAAACAACGTCTGCTGCGGTTTCTGCAAATCTGCATCACCTTGCGAAGCACGCCTATTACAAGGAATCTCCGAGTACCAGCGAGCAGATTGTCTCAAAATGTGCTGTAAGGAAGACTTTCCCGTACCTGATCTCAGCGTTAGCACTTATAAGCAATTATCGACCTCTACTACTGTAGCCTCAAGATCAATTCCTTCAAAATAAATTCCCTTACTTATAGAATTTACAGCAGACAACCACGCTGCTACTAAATCACCTTTTCTGTCACTCCTGACAGCAGCTCCAAAATAAGCAGATACATTGTTCACAAATTGTTTCGCAAACTCACAAACTCCGCACCATCCTCAACGTAAATCTGCAGTGTCGTTTCAATCACAGGCCATACATCTGACAAGGAGGTTTGCGCCGCTGGTTTTGTCTCTCCCAGACCCTGCCGCTAGAATGCATGACGAGTGTTGCGAATTCCAGGTGAGGAAAGTCCACGTTTTGAACACTGCCCGTGGTCGGACCGTGCACATATCTGAGATTTAGTTAGGCAAACGGATTGTACACCGCAGTGAAGCTAAACTTGGTTGAGCTTGAGTTGGAGGAATCAGAATGCTTTTTTCTGGAGTACATTGGTAGATGTACAATCTCGAGTCATGCACCGAATTGAGTATGGATATTCTTCTCCGTTCACTTCATCCCATTGACCATGACCTCTTGTCTTTGATCTCGACAGAGTATTTACAGGTGGTGATCACCAACCTTACAGAGGGATAGCTTCGTCCACTTCAGGCCCATGCCTCTGCAATGCAACCATACACGATAAATATTATGCGTGATCAATTTCGACTCAACATTTTCAACGGAAATCACGCTCACTTCGATATTCAGCAAACGATGTTCTCCATCCTTTTTTTAAAAAAATACTCGATATTGAAGTCAGATTTCTGCAAGAGTCTGTGTAACTGAACGTCCACACGCAGCCCAAGTGCAAAAGCATGCGTGCTACGAAATTACCTCATTTATACACGTCACAGTTCTGAAAGCGCTGGCGCTTATCATTCTGCTGAGATCACGGCCAGCACAAGCATTTCATCAGGGTCGTTCACACAGAGACCTTAGCATGACCTGAACCATGGCTTACTAGAACTGAAATCTTGGGATGTGGATGATTCCGTTTGCATGTTCAACAGGTTTAAGGAGGGCAGCGATGCCGACTCCTCGAATACCTTCTAAGTAGAAAGAATAAGATGGGAAGCATCGAGACAGGGGAAGAGACATACGGAACAAAATCACATCAACAATTTAAGCATTGGCGCTTCATGTCTGGTTTAGCAGATGCAAGCTAAATTATCATCACGTCTCGAGTCAATAGTGGATGACCTGAATCAAACAACGCTGATCCAGTCTCAGTAACTTCCGTGAGTGTATGCACATAACTCTCTTCGTCCAGATAGAAAGAATATCTCTCGTCTAAGCGAAACAGGATACGTTTCAGCTCACTACAAGAGGATTTATGTCAATTTCGAGAGACTTGATCTCTCAAGTTTCCACTTTGTCTCGCATATGATGCATGAAGCCTTCATTGATTCATACTTTACGGACCACATCACCTCTAAAATTCGAAGCTACAGTTTCAGTCATTTTTCATGTTAGAATGGAAACACGATACGTTTCAGCACACTAAAGAAGAATTAATGTCAGTTTCGACAGTCTTGATTTCATAAGTTTCCTCTTCGTCTAGCATATGATGCATGAAGTCTTCATTGATTGATACTTTACGCTCCATTTCGTCCCTGCATTTCTGAGCTAGTATGGATTTCACTAGTATGTATTAAAATTGATCTTAAAATGGGAACTACAGCAATTCGGCACCTGGATAGCAATATCCAGCGCTGGATACATTTGCATATCAGATCTTTTGTGATAGATGGGTGATGGAAGGTTGTGATTTCATTAGCAGCTTATTGGCATCAATAAAGTATCCATCTCCCGGCATTACATACATTGTGTACTTCTGATGATGGCCGAATCGAGGTTTGTTAAAGATATTTATCAGTACACTTGATGACCCTGTTTGTCAAGCTTTGAAAGAAAGATTGTAGATCTAATAACACCACATCATCTGAGGAAGTGTGTGTAGCTCTCCTGATACCGCTAATTGTAAGCTCTAGTAAATTATCAAATAACAATTAGGGTTAGTAGCTGATGTGTTCAATAGCTATCGTGGTTAAACGATGCTACCAACTCTAAAATATGAAAGAACATAACCTTCATTCCTGTCCATTCTACAGTTGTTGGACCCTCATCATTCAGAACAATATATATATATATATTGTTCTGAATGATGAGGGTCTATATATTGGAATTCAAGACTGACCGATGGTCACTTTTGAATCAAAAATATTGTCCATAATGTGGAAATTTCATAGTTTAGCCAAATTCTGATTTCTTCAGAAACATAACTGCGCGATTGACATAATTGAATAGATTTTAAAAGACTTGTACAAGTGAAAATTCTATGAAAGATTTTGCAGAGGTTTGAGTGCATGAGGATCTAAACATTTGCTTGTCATTGGCATAATGACATTCTAACCTCTTCAAATTCCTAAACTGTCAAAATTCCTGAACCAAGACCTTTATTCATGCACTCCTGGCACACCCATGCATGCCCACCTAATTCTAGCCTCACGTATTTCACCTGAAACAACTTGAAGATTGCCGGATAGTTAATATGCGCAAGTGTTTGCTGAATCCTCAGCCATGCTTCTTCCAGCTCCTTGCTTTCCTCACCTTTTAGAACTGCCCTACGATCACGATCGCTAATGCCATCTAGTTGAACAATATTAGATTTTAACTCTTCCCAATTCGGAATCGCTTGGCCCAATCCGCATATCACATCCAGTCCAGCTTTCAGAGCATAATGCATGACTTTGAGTGAGATTTCAATAGTTTTCCGAATCCATGTTCTATTCTCCCAATCCAAGCGTATCCTCAACCCTTCTTGATCTTTGACAATGTGAAACCCATTCACTGACTCACACATCAAATGTAAACGAACAGTTGTCCCAACATGCGCAATTGCACTCATCTTGTAGAAAACGCCAACATCGTCCGTGATGTAAGGTCGCTTGGGAGCTCTCGCTTGACGAAGCGATTGGGAATACTGAATGATACTGTCCACTTTTGACATGAAAGAACTGGACGTTGACTGCAGTTGTTGTTGCAAAGAGAGTATCTGTCCCACCTTGTTTTCCAATCTCTGCACAGTGCTCACCAGTGATCTCAACCCTTCATCCACACCATCAAACCTTCGTCCCATATTTCCTTCTAGCTTATCTATCTTGGACAAAATAAGTTGGGTTGACCTATTGTCTACACTTGTGGTCGTCCGACTTAAGCACCTGGATGAAAATCGATTGGAATCTTTCATATCAGGAAATTTTGAATTGTTGGCCATGTTTTCATCTTCAGCCTGAGAATGCACCAAATCATTGTTCACGCTGATTATACCTTGCTGCAATGACTCCAATTGTTTGGTAAGGCCTTCCTGCAATGACTCCAATTGTTGCAATCGCTTTTGTCGGATCTGATTCAAAATCGCTTCCACATCGCTCTCCCAAAGCAACTGCCTAGCTCTTTCGAATATAACATGTGTTGTGTGCCCTTTAATCAAGGGCCAACCGTACTCATAGTTGAACAACTCATCTTCCTTCTCCAAGTGCCACTTTTCCAACGGAATATCCTCAAGTTTGTCGTTACAGCTACGGATGAATTTTGATTTCAGATCCTCAATTAGAATTGTCCCTCTCTGATGACTCGGAATCAGCATATCCACACAAATTGTTTGAATAACACGGAGCACTAACGCCACCCCGGGACAGCCTTTAGATGATGCGCAAAATGATATTAACTCCTGGACGATATGCTTCATCACATATTTCAGCGCCCCCTCCCTTGATTTATAGTTTGAGCATAACATCAAAACATCCACGTAACCATGGGACCTATCTTGTTCGACGTAGATCTCGTGCCCATCATCAAAAAGTCGCAAATAATGTCGAGAGCAGGTCACACTCTCCTTGAGAACATCCATCTCTGATATCAACTTGCGTCTCATGAACATCTACAATAATACAACATTTGGTAAATATTGAGCTGCGCATTTCCAAAAATGAATTCAAAGAATGAAAAGAGAACATTCCATTCATAGTACACAAGTTACAATCAGAACTTGACGCATTCACTCTTCTGATAGTATATATGAAATTACCTGGAAGCATGGAAAAAAAGCAGCGGTAAGTGACATTGTTCTTTCATCTTGGCATTGAATCCGGATGCCGACAAACGTTGAAGGTTCAACCCTAGTTTCCCAAACCATGGACTCCACGTGCGTCCCTTCTTGAAGCTTCTGTTCTTCCGGTATGAAGGAGGGAATGAAATACTCAGAAGTATCTTCTAGCTTGAAACACAAATCCAAGTTGATAAGGATTTTCTCAATCAACTCTTTGTGCACAACTCTCTCTCCATGTGGTTTCTTCTTCACAATCTCCTCTATCAACCGATCAAAGACAGTCTCACTCACACATCCGTCCCTCCTTGTGTATGAGTCACGTGCCACCGTTTTGCAAGAAGATGTAGATTCTTGAGCTTGAAAGTTTTGACCCTGAGCTACCAACTTACCCAATAATGTATTGGTAAGCCAGTTGGGATCCACAATGATGTAATCAAGGTTAGGGATAGAAACTATAGATCCGACGTCATTCAAATATGATATGATTGATTTCATTATCCTTGAATGATCAGTGGCATGAGCAGAAGAAAATGGAATGAATTGTTTCAAGCTGGGGATGCAGAATTTGTAAAACTCTGTGGATTGCCAAAAAGGGCATTTTCTATTCTCCTTGGTGTTTGCAATCAAGGAAGAAGAGAGTTGAGAACACAACTTTGGAACCTGTGGGGATTTTTCACTCAATAATTTCTTGAAGATTTCAAGAATGTGATTTTTGAGAGGCATAACTTGCTTTTTTTTCTGAGCATTCACATGGAAACACTCATCAACAGGATGCAGATCCACAAATTTTACAAATCTTTTGGTGAGTTTTTTCACCATGGGGTGAATCCAAGCCAAAGACTTGGAGCTGGTTTTATCCTTGTGTGTAATCACAACAAGAACTTGTGGACGATTATGTCCTGTGATCCTTGTGCTGGATGTGATGAAACGCAACCATTCCTCCAACTCTCTCTGGAAACAAAACTCTGGTTTGTCCAAAGAATTTTTATCATCGAAATGGCTATACACAAAAAGAAAAACACAAAAATTGCTGGTTTGAGGAAATAACACACTCTGAAGGGTAGGAAAAATCTCTTGTCCTGCAAGATCCCAAATTGAGATTTGGGATCTGTCATTGTTTTCCAAGAGCTCCACTTCGATGCCTTCAGTCCTCCACAATTCCTCCCATTTCTTTCCAACCCAACTTTTGCCTTGTACTATCCTCATAAGAGTTTGACGTAATTGAGTCTTGCCTATAGATTGATTACACATAACCACAACAAATATTATTTGTTACTTGAGATACTATTACAGATTGTTTGATAATGTATTCTTTATATATATATATTGTGAAAAAATCCGAATTACACAATAAATCTTCATACTATTAAAAATATCTTAGATTAAAATTGAATTCGTTAATATTTGAATCTTTATTTTTTATATTTCCGTTTTATTTGCACACATATCCAAATACATCTAGAAAAATAACAAATTTCATAATTTCATGTTAAATTTTTGAAAAGTAAAATCATAGATTGCTAGTTCAAAAGACTAAGAAGTCTTAGAGCACCTTACCTGCTCTAGGAGAACCGCATAAGAAGAGTCGGCCAGCTTTTGCATCTCCAAATTCTAATTTGGCTTCTCTGAAGATGGACATGTAAACCGCCCGCTTCTGGTTTTGCTTTAGAGCTTCTTGAATCTGCGCCGCCTTTCCGTCCTTTTTCCATGAGGTTCGTGAGAAGTCAATCTCCTGGAGAGCCAAGTTCACTTGTAGTAGCTCCATCAGGTCCCTGAAGGCATCTTCGTCGAGTTTGTTGAATCCGCAGTTAGACAAATTCAAGTGAGTGACACTTGTGTTCACTCGCAAGCACCCCATCAGGTTCCTGAAGGCATCTTCGTCGAGTTCCCACTCAGACAAATTCAAGTGAGTGACACTTGTGTTCACTCGCAAGCACCCCATCAGGTCCTTCCATACTCCCTTCCAAATATCTCCCCTTTGAACAGATAACTGCAGACTCTTCAGGACTGAAGTCTCTCCAAGTTTTCCGTTTATCGACGGGATACTTCCAATTCTATCTTGGTTGCTATCTGAGGTGTCAACTTCTTCCTCCAAATGGAAAGATGAAAAGGATTTGATTTCACCTCGCAGTACACTAACTAATAGGTTTAGTGATAACAAAAAGTCATGGTCACTCAGAGTAACCAGAATGAGTTCCACTATGGGGTCCTTGACATGGGAGCTAGCAGCACGCGCAAGAGCTTCTACTGACTTCCAGTCATCTCTAACATTGTGTTCTAATTCAAACCCTACTAAAATACGTGTTGCTATAGCATTGTCGCGTATGACTTCGCCTAGTTGGTGCCATTCCTCAGGACTCATCCGCATGTCACTCAATTTTACTTTCTTCAATGATGCGTTGGAAGTAAGAAGTTGCCTCAAACAGTCTCCGAGTCTATCGATACTTCGCAGCCTAAGAGTTTGAATGGATCGGTTGCCATCATCTCCGGCCAAAGCTTTCAGCAACAAGGCCGCTCCCCACTTCACGTTCTCTAAGTACAATTTCTTCAAACCCGAGCTCTGGATCAAAGCCTGGGACAGCATTCCAACGGTCTCCTCGTCCATGTCCATGCTGCAGTTTTCGCCGCCTAATTCCAATTTTTTTAGTAGAGGAGCACTGCTGATCATGTCAACCACATGCTTCATCACACTCGAGTCCACCCCTAAATCCCTAAGTCTTAGAGACTCGAGTTTAGAATCGTAATTTCCTCTCAGTCCTGATGCGAGATTCAAGAAACATCTGGCAGTCATCGGGCAATGCATTATTGACAATGTTTTTATGCTAGAAGAATTCAGAATTCTCCCCAGCTGTAAGCACAAGCTCTCCACTTCCGCATCTGAATTCCATTTCACACCAAAACAGTATATCCCTTGTAGAACGGTACTAGAATGGAAACCTCTCAAAAGAACCTCCCACTCGCTAGCGGTGAACCTCGATATATCTCCATCACAAATTTCACGTACGTACAAATAGTGGGGAGTGCATCTGGCGATTGTAAGTGCGATTGCCTCCAGCACTCGAAGGCGCACTTTGCTCCGCCACCCTGTGATCGTCGAGAGCGATGCACTCTCCGGAAAGAACTCCCGAAATCCTGGCATATGTAAATAAAAGTAGTCGCTGCCTCTCGGCCCTAAAGTCTCGGCTTTAGCGTCTTCCAGACGCCGTATAAGGTCCTGGACAGCAGACGGAAGCTCCGGTTCCTCGTCTTTCTCGCTCAAGTAGGACGTCTCTGGTTCCTGGTCTGCGGAGTCCATTCCCCGTATCTCGGCAGCGTCACTGACAATGGACGAACCTGCAACTTCCATTCTCTTCTCCACTCTCACAGAGAATGAAACGTTGGCTGCTTGGCATGCGCGAGCGAAATATGACCGGGCCTACAGGAGATCCTCGATCCGCAGGCACGGCTCACCCGAAGAAAACTGAACTTCCCGTCGAAGTGTCGAAGCTAATGGGCGAGTGCGTGCTCGGCATGAGAATTTTCGCACTCTGCACGAGAAGCTACACAAAGATTACTCCAACCTCTGCATAGAATCGGATCAAGAACAATCACTACGAACTCAGTGCAGGCCATGACACAAAGATAAATCCAACCTCTGCACACAATTGGATCAAGAACAATCACTACTAACTCAGTGCAGGGCAAGGCAATCGATGTGAACCAAAATGACGGCAGAGAAACACGATTCTGGTTCCAAGCGAAATTGCAGAGCGTGTGCAGGGGATTTGAAGTGTCTCGGGAAGGCAAACCTGTTTTAAACTCGCACAAAGAGTGGTGTTTGATGTGCGATTGTGACACAACTCGAACTCAGTGGAAAAGCTGATTGCTGTGCACCTGAATCTGAAAGAGCGGATTGGAGCAAAGATGATCCGATGTGGGCGGAGAATGTCATGGAATCGCAGATATCTCAGAGGTGGATTACTGAGCGTTGTGTACAAATGGATGTTCCACTGGGAGAATGCGAATTTAGCTGCATCGAGACCCACGAGAAGACAGAAACTACCATGGGAAACGCGCAGAAAATATATGCAGCTTCTTCATCACAGCTTCTCATTGAACCATGTGGGCAATCGGGGTAACGACAACTTGCGAACACAAGAAGCTTGTTCCTCTGTACTCGGTGTGATTGGAGAATGTAAGTCTTCACTTGACTTTTTGTGCAAGTGGAAAGTATAATTAGGTGAATGCATAAGTGTGCTAATACACTCGATGTCGTCACTATTTCAAACGTCATTTTCATTGAATTTTTGTTTCCTGGAATATTTGATCTATTCAAACTAGTGGATGTATTCTGGCAGGTGAGAGGCAGGTGAGAGGCACATGAATGGTCACCTTGGTGGACAAAGTCTGTTGTGCTTTTTCTTGCCTCAAAAATTGGTTCAGTGATCTACATTACTCTACATAACTCGTAGGTTGAGAACAAAGTGATCAACTTTTTGGGAGTTTTCTAAACATTGTGTCGAAGTGCTGTGTATATAGTATACGAGAAGCATTCTTGATCAACTGTCAAGCATGTGAGAGTATGCAAAGTTCTAATACTAGAGTCTGGAGGGCTAATACGTGCAATCTCAAAATTTTAAACAATAAACAAGCTCCGATAATTTATTTCTGACCAAAACAATTTTCAATGAAGGTGATATTGCATTTCTCATATACTTCTTAATTGCTTTAGAGTTTTTGAATTTGCAGTTCTTCAGCTGTTTCAGTTGTTTTTTATTTTCAACTTTTTGATTGTTAGGTTGTTTTGTTTAGATGAATTATTAAAATAAATGCAAATGAATTATTCTAAGATATTACAACTCCACTAATGAGAAGAATTTGATGGATCTTTCCGACTTTATAACTAAAGTTGAATCGATGAGATGATCAGAGCATCAACAGTAGATTTTTAAAGTGTGTATCAACATAACGTCACACACCCAAACTTTTGATGCATTTTACGTTAATATTGAAATATTGATTACTCATTACAATGAAATATTCTCTAGTTCGTCTCTTATTTAGGATGGAATGTAGCAAAATATTAGAAAGAAATATGTTTCTGAGAGGATTACAAGCAGCTACTACACAACTTATTTGAGAACTCAATTTCTTCCTAAATCCTTTCCCATGTTATTTTAGTTTTTTGTTGTGTATATTCACTATTTATTCGCCATTACAGAATTATTGGATTCAACATGTATCCATTGGTAGTCTTGTAGTAGAATTTGAGCTAAGTGTTGCGGTTCACATGCTCCCTTGAATCTCTCATCGGATGCTTTGCTAGGAATCTCTTTTGCTCACACCAGTGGAAAGTATCTTGCACTCGTTGTCATCCAAAACAACGCTATCTTACATGATTATTTTCATTCACTCTTAGTGCAACATGTTCAAGGTGCCCACAACAATATTCCATGGTCTTCAATACTCCATAAATTATAAGATATTAAAAAAATTGTACAGCCACAATTGGAAATTATTAAATATATTATTTTTCACTTTCCACTTGCCAATTATGCCAGTGAACTTAGGCGATTTCACTCCACTAAAGAAAGTGAAGATGCTTCGGCTGAATATTATTGCGTTTTTTGGGTGGCACCTTGTCTAACAAGTACAATGCACGCCTTCTATTTTTATTGAACACACATTCCTAGTCAACCTTGACTCTGTTGAATATTTCACCCCACAAGCATCATTATTCTTTCCGCTTCTTCACGCCACGTGGTGGCACCAAGTCTTCCTGTGACCACCAGGCTGGTGCCCAAAGGAGGACCGTTGAACAGGAACCGGTCAACAGGAAGTGGTTGGCACTTCCTGCGTTCAGACTGATAAGTGCCAACTACGTTGTGAATTTGAAACTGAGCATGTTGTTTACGGAGGTTGGTGCGACTGAGTAGCACATCATCCAAGAGGATGAACGCTTATGAGGTTGCATTTCGAGCAATCATGAGGAAGCATCTATATATTTGACTATAATCAAGCTCCTTAGATACGAGAATAATAGAAAACAAGCGGAATTCCATAGATTAGCACAATTATCAAAGTGATGGATGACTGAGAATGATCAATTAAGATGCTATGAAACTCGTTACACCTCCAAACTGTGTTCCACCAGCAACTGTACAGCATGAGTGACGGCCGTCTTGATGTTTGTTTTTCTGGAATGCAGAGTACGGGTCTGAGTAAAAAACGAAGAGGCCGGCCGGTGACGGTGAAACATACTGGATACGGTGACACACGAACCGTGTACGTATACATACGGTCTTAATGATAGAGCCAAAAGTCTAGATAATCTTTAGAATTAACTCTTCGAGCGACGTCTTTGGTGAACGCAAAACAATATTACATGGTGTGCAAAGTTCCGCAAATTATAAGATATTTCAAAAATTTTCTAAGCACAATTGGATGTATTCAGTTAGATTTTCTGTACCCACTTTTCACTTATTCCAACGAACTTGCGCCACTTCGCTCCACTAAAGAATGCGAAGATGCTCGGCTGAACACTATTGACTTTTTGATGATACTTTATCGAACAAGTACAATGCAGAGTGCATCGGAATCAAGCCAAGCCTACTTTTCTTTTTGAACACACCTTCCCAGGCGACTTTGAGGTCAGTTGAATATTTCAGCGCAGAATGCTCATTATTCTAACCCCTTCTTCACTGCACGTGGTGGTACCAGGTCTTCCTGTAGCACCAGGAAGACCTGGACTATCCCTGCTGTAGCCAAATAGTTCGCAAGGCCCAGTCCTTGTTATTCTTTGTCTTTTTCACTTCCGATGCTTTTGTCTGAATCTGGTTGTTTGAATTTACCATTGCCTGAAAACGAAAAGCAAATGGACATTGGGCAAACAGCTTGAATTCTGATTATATTTTACTGGGGGCATGCAATCAACCATGACAATTTAGTTACATTCTTCTAAGACATGCACGAGTTAGGAGTTTCTGTTGCACATTTTTTTTCTTGCTCTAGCTAGGCTGCCGTGCAATTGCCAGCACAAATTTCACATCATAAGCTTAGCCTGAACGATACACCCTTTTACCTCAAAGGCCTTTCAAACTCATATACCGGGGAGGGTTCCAGTAAAGCACAATAGGTGGCACCACTTTCTTACTTCTTGAATCTCTTGATTCACCATCCTCAACGTAAAACTGCAGTGTCTTTGGACTGTGATTTCTCAATCACAGGAGGTCTGGGCCGCTGGTTTTGTCTCTTCCAGACCCTGCTGCTAAAATGGAGGACGTGTGTTGCGAATGCCAGATGAGGGAAATTCACATCTTCATCACTGCGTGTGATCGGACCATGCACATATCCGAAATTTAGTTAGGCAAACGAATTGTGAAGCTATGGGTCTCGCTCAACATGATTGAGGCTGAGTTGGAAGAATCAGAATGCTGTTTTCTGGACTTCATTGGTAGATGTACAATCTCGACTGAATCCATCGATATCCTTCTCCGTTCACTTCATCCCATTGACCATGACCTCTAGTCTCTGACCTCGAAAGAGTATTTAAAGGTGGTGATCACGAATCTTACAGAGTGATAGCTTCGTCCACTTCAGACCCATGCTTCTGCAATCCAACAATACGATTAATATTATATTCTGCGTGATGAATGTGGAATCACTATTCCAGTCAAGTATTTTCAGCTAGAATCGCGATCACTTCGATATTCAGCAAACGATTTTCTCCATCCTTTGAAAACATATTATGATGTTGAAGTCAAGTCCACACGCAGTCCAACTGCGTGTGGACCTTCAGTCACACAAGTTACACAGTTCTATTATCACATTTATACAGGTCACAGTTCTGAGCATGCTGGGCTTGTCATTCTGCTGAGATCACGGCCAGCACAAGCATTTCATCAGGGTCTTTCACACAGACACCTCAGCATGACCTGATACATGGCTTACTAGAACTGAAATCTTGGGATGCGGATGATTCTTTCTGCATGTTCACAAGGTTCAAGGAGGTCAGCGATGCCCACTCCTCGAATACCTTCAAGTAGAAAGATTAAGATGGGAAGCATCGAGACAAGGGGAGAGACATACGGAACAAAAACACATCAACAATTTTATCAATGGCCCTTCATTTCTGGATGAGCAGACGCAAGCTAAATTCTCATCACGTCTAGAGTCAATTGTGGATGACCTGAATCAAACAACGCTGATCCAGTCTCAGTAACTCCCGTGAATACACTCTCGGATTGGCGATGGCACGTAGCCAATCCGAGATTGCGTCACAAGAAATGCTAGACGAAGAGGCCAGCAGGTCACGGTGAAACCCACTGGATACGGTGACACACTAACGGTGTACTTCTACATACGGTCGTATTGATATAGCCAAAAGTCTAGGTAATCTCTGGAATTAACTCTATGAGCAGGGTCTTTAGTGAACGCAAAACAATATTCCATGTTGTGCAAAGCTCCACAAATTATGAGATATTTAAAGAAATTTAATCACAATTGGATGTATTTAGTTAAATTTTCTGTCCCCACTTTCCACTTATTTCAACGAACTTCCGCATGTTCACTCCACTAAAGAAAGTGAAGATGCTCGGCTGAATATTATTGACTTTTTTGGTGGGACCTTATCTAACAAGTAGACCCCAAATTGCAATGTACAAAAAAGTGACTTGATTGCACAGTCCACCCGAATCAAGCCATGCATTCTATTCTTTTTGAACACACATTCCGAGGAGACTTTGAGCTCAGTTGAATATGTCAACGCAGAGGCCTCATTATTCCAGCGCAGAAGTCTCATGATTATTTCTGCTTTCTTCACTGCACGTGGTGGCACCAGGTCTTCCTGTGGACCTGGACTATCCCTGTTGTAGCCAAATAGTCCGCAAGACTCAGTCTCTCAAACGAAGAATTTGTTACTCCTTGTCTTTTTCACTTCCCATGGTTTTGTCTGAATCTGGTTGTTTAAATTTACCCTTGCCTGGAAAAGAAAAGAAAATAGAAATTTGGCACACAGCTTGAAATCCGATCATATTTTACTGAGGGCA